AAATTTACTGGATCACGTCTCTGACACGAGAAGGAAATGCTGATTACCACAGATTCAGATGTGTGGGTCAGCTGACAGGAACGTAGTCATTTCCACCAAAACAATTGACAAATGAGAATATTCGAGGAATGAAGAATCGTCACCCGTGTTAAAGTATTTACCATCCTTCGAATGTTGTAGGTTGGGTCGATGAGGAAGAATGTTAAACACTACGAGGAGGGCCGACTTGTTAAGTGAATGAACCTTCTATTACGTACAGCTGTGCCCAGACAAAATTGATAACAAACCGTGAAGGGTTCAACATCTGATTTTGGTAAAAACAAGAATTTGATCATTTTTTTCTTTGTTTCAGTTTGTTAGGAAGCTAACAGAGACCCTTCTTTAGGGCTTGAAAGTGAATAGTCCGTTAGAGCAATGTAGGAGATAGATAAACATATATTTTCTCCCACCCACCTCCCTCACCCCTAACAAACCCCCCTACCAAGCCCCCCTACCAAACCTCCCCTACCAAACCCCCCTACCAAACCCCCCCTACCAAACCCCCTTGATCAGCCATCTGTACTGATGTTGATCATCAATTGCCACTCATAAAGTCAGAATGTATGGTATGCCACTGACGACACCCTTAGAATATCTAGATGGCAATTGTATTTTCTTCAGCACTCGGGTATTTATCACTCGTCGATAATACGAGTTTTGGTCTGTATTGGGCAATATGAGAGAAGAAGTAGAATTTGAAGCTGGCCGGATTTCAGCGAGGATATATTTAGTACAACAAGCTAGTGATTCCAGCCAGGAAAGGCCGCACAATTCTTCCGCTGACATTAGTTTCTTCACCCCAGGGAATCAGGACTGAAGATGATATCGATGCTTACAAAGCGTAAAATAGGCGGCCCAGAAATATCCCGTGCTGGAAAGTATAATGATAAAGGAAATCGAGCAGAATCTTCTGTCAAAAAGCCATTAAATCTCGCGCTTTGTGTTTTAAAATGAGCCATTGGATTATTTAAAGTTTTTCCACTTAAGTTAACTTCATGTTTTGAAAAAAGACAGACAGTAGATGCAAGGAAGGGTTAAGGAGAGAGAGGAAGGTTTTTTTTTTACATCCCCGAGGTGCTAACTAGAGTTTCCTTAATCACCCACAATCTTTTCTTTCGAATGAAATAAAAAAAAGAAATTGAATAGCTGAGCACCTGTGCCTAAATATCAGATTATACAAAAATAATTAAATAACAAGAAAAAATTAAAATTTCTTCATAATAGTAGAAAGATCTTGGTTCACGTAACTCGCGCACGGGTAAAGACAGTCGCAGGAGGTCGCATGTTTCATTCCTCGCCATCAATAGTCAAAATGGCGCTTCTTGCACTTGTCTAAGGCTAAAAATATCCAGTCATGTACAATATAAATTCTCCTCAATTCAGGGAGAAGGGAAAACATCTTGTCTAAAAACCACCAGAACGCTGTGGTAACGCCCCCGGCTATTGTTGAGGTGTGTCAGTTATCCACACGTAACAAGTTTTTAGGTAAAAACACTGACTTGGTGTAATTTATTCTTTCTTCCTGTAAATACCTGGTGTAAACTCAGTTTTAAATGACAAAAATCCCGCCATGAGTTTTCAAGCTGTATATTCCGAGCTGCTTCGTTTTAGATCAAGGGATTTTAAAATTGGTAAAACAATATCAAATCAATCAAAAAGGACTTCTCCTAACATACACTTAGAACACTTCTGAAAACACCGGAATACCGATAATTTTCCATTAGACGAAAAAAAAAGTCAAAATACTTTCTACTTTTTAAGTGTAGGAGATAAAATTTCTGATAGCACTGATCATTAAAATGTCTTTAAGATATTTTAAGCACGGAATTTTATGATGTTAACTTATGCTCTGATATGAAATATTCTCTTCCCCGAACGTGCCTTGGTCGGTGTGACCTTAAGCCCTCGTCGATCCTTATTGGAATCAACCCTTTTTTACCTCACTCACAAATTTCCCGAAAAAGCTGGTAATTGAACCACAGAAAAGCCTATGAAGATACGATAGTGACCCGTTTAAAATATTTCGGTGATCGCAATATTCCGGCTATTGGTCTTTTAAGTAGGACTTTGCTTAGGCACGTTTATGACATTGACCTAGGGAAAGAGAGTCAAACAGGATAATATCCCATGAAACGGCGCCTTTATTACGACTGATACGAGCATCGCTTGTCATCTCCTGAGTTATTACATTTGAACTACTCGAAGATTCCTCGATGAAGCGGAGAGCTAAATTGCACTGACGCACGTACGAAAGAACATTTACTAAACGCCCACTAACATGAACTTGACCTTCTCATAGTCAATGCACGATTTCTAACTTTGCATCATATGTAATCCAACTTTTTACCGCCATTAACAATACCTACCACCGTTCCACTCGGATTACACTCTGTCAGTACGTAGACCATAAGTCAAATTTTGAGACGAAGTTTAAAATATTGATAATGGTAAATTGAGAGATTTGAGAATTTGCATAATCTTGTGTTATCTGACCAAGCTTTCGCCCAGAAAGCATCATTTATAGCTATTGGGGTTTTCAGAACAATACTAAACTAGGCTGTGATTCCTCGCTGATAAACTTGTTTTCGAAACACTGTCTACATTATAACATTTATCAGGATAGCCAAAAGAGGGCTTCTTTAAACGGTTGCGTATGATTGAATAACTGCGCAGTTACTATGAATAAAACACGACAGACTACAAAAAGGAGATTTCACCTGGCCTAAACGTGACAGTAGATCAGTGTGCATGTAAGTCAAGATTACCTGATTGGGACGGTGACTGGAGGTTCATGAAATAGGCAATTAGTAGCCTAGTATTCTGTTCTTATTCCTCTCGTTGATGGACGCCCATTTGAAAAACGTTTTGTTAACGATGTTCAGAAGAGAATCATTTCTTAAATCCATGAAACTTGAGGTAAGGTTACAGTTCCCTTTCCATGTGGTGATATCCTACTTGTACTCCGTCAGGCGTAGAGGAATTTTACTCTTATTTTCCTTCGTTAGCGTTACACCTTCTAATTTTCAAACGAGCCGGCTTAATTAATTAGTTGGGGGAAACATATCACTTAAAAAACTAGAAAAAAAAAGGCCTATTTAGTCTGTTTGTTTTTTGTTTTGTCTTTTTTGCGCATATCGAAAAAAAAAATAATAAGGAAACTACTACCACGGTATTTCGTCATACATACCTTTGCTTTTTGGGATAGTGTTTAAGGTGCTTTTGATTGTTGTTGTTCAGGTTCTTTGGTTCAGCGGATACTCCCTGCGCACGCGCGCGAGGTAGAGACGGGGGTGGCATGACGGACATGAGCTTTTCAACTTTGCTGTCCAGTCTCTCAATCTCGCTCTGGTGTTCTCGAATTGTCATCTCTTTAGACATCACGTCCATCCGCAATGTTCTAATTTCCTTGTGTAAAATTTCAACTTCCTGTTTCTCCATGTCTTCTCGTTCATTGATCAAGTTTTCGTACTCCTTGATGACGTCATCTTTTCTTCTAAGCTCGTTCCGTAAGAACTCGATCTCTTTCTTTTGTATCTCCAACTGTTTGTTTCGCTCTCTCAGCGCACTCTCTAACAGCTTGAAGGAACTTTTCAGCCATTCCAGATTCAAAGCTGCCGCCCGTCCTGTTGTGTTACGTTTGGTTCAGTGAAAAATTAAACAATATATGAAAAAGAAACTCGATTTTTCTCTTATATTAAAAATTGTTTATTTCATCTTAATATGAAAAAGGTTAAAAAAATAGATAAATAAACGAAAGAAAATAAAATGAACTAGTTGAGGTAAATAACTCAGCGTCTGCACACAGAATAAATATTTTATTTGTTTCTCCGCGCAGTCCCTCCCCATAGCAATAGCTTAATTATAGTTTTTGTTCCAAACAAAAGAACTTAATTTTATGTTACTATGTATCTGGACAAGTGACGTAAATTTACGAAAAATGCTCGGGAAAAGAAAAAGTTGTCTCTATATACAATGACCTTTGGAAGAATCATTAAAGAAAGTTCGGTCACCATGCAGTCAGTAGAATTTACAATCCGATCTAGTCGAGTATATCCTGATGGTGCCCATGCCCCGTCGCTCCTCATGATGAGCTCTTTTCATTGTCCGGGACCTCACGACGTAAGGCCTTGTTGCGGACGTTTTTTAGAATGCAAAGGCTGTTACCCAGTCCTTGAGGGGCAGACTTCATGTTTTTTTTTTCTCAGTTATAAAAGTGCCATATAACTTGTTAAATTGAATTCAACAGTCACACTGCTCAAAATTTGCATAACATAACATAATTTAGCTTAGTAGCAGTTTGTAAACACTAGTTATTATAACGTGAGTCACATCAGGATGATACGGAACTCCCGTGTCACTAATAAGTAACAAAAAAAAAAAAACAAAAAAACTTGCATCCGCCCCTGCATAACTACAACTGTCGTTTTTGTACAAGGTCTTGAACAAGATCTCATATCTGATGTTGCCGGAACATTCTCTTATCAGGACTTTCAATAAATTGGTATTATTCCTACCAAATTTTCTGTACATTTGTTAAACGTTCTCTATAAATATGGGCGTCAACATGCATTCTCAAGTACGGAATTAAGATTCTACCCATCTCATCATGAGAGCTGCATGACAACTTTTATTTTTCAATGACGTTTCTTGACAACAGCTACTCATCGTTCGTCATCATATTCTATATTGATGGCTTTTTTCGGTGATAAATTCAAGTTGAATTTAATTAGTTTTAGCCTGTGTAACTTTGAAATTATTGCTCACTGACATTTTGCCGAATCTTCAGTTGTTTTACGATTAACGTAGAACTTATTTTCGTGTCAGATCACAGTGCTTCTATGCAAACGATAAATCTCAGCACAAATGTAACGTCAAGCTTGTGATATTGGTTTCTGTAGTGAGGTGATATTGTGCACTGAAAGTATTTAAACAAACTGCGTCGACATGATCTAATCTATTTAGATTTGTTAACGATATACTTACGTTCTCCTTCTCTGTCTCTCTCCTGCTTGGGATTATTCATTGGCGGTGTCTTAGGCCGAGGCGTGTTGTTGTTTGAGTCGCTCCTGAAGAAAGGGGAATTATCTCTAGAGTTTCTTGAAACCAGCTTGAACGCTGGCGAACCCATGTGTTCTTGCATCTATGATTTGGTCCGAAATTACAAATTAGTGAATAAGGGCGACAGTGTCATTCAGTCGGAACTAAATTGAGTAACTTTGCGTTGGCTTCACTATTAAACCAATTGGGCAGTGCAATTTTTCATTTCGTCTAATCATATAATTAACAGAGGATGACAGTTTTCATCATAAACGTGCCGCTGATAACGCATTATTGGTTGCCTGGTTGTCGGAAATGGTAATAGCGTGGAAAACATTTGCCGTACTTATTAATATTTTTGTCGTTAGCAAGATAAACAGGTGTATTTATAGCGAAACTCATCGCTTCAATTGTTAAGATGAAACATGCACAACTTTTTTATGTGTTGCTTTTCTTTTCAAATTTCAGACGATGAGCGAGGCCGTTCATTGAAAAGATGACTATAAGAAGTAACAGGTTTAAAACTTAATAGGCACAAGACGATCGTGTGACGATCTTCACGAGTACTTGCTTCCAATATAACGCCTCCCTCAGACCGACATTAAACAGAAACATACATACACGCATGAATAGACGGATGGATTAATGACAAATAGATAAATAAAAGAATAAAGACATAAAGTAATTCAGTAAACAATATATAACTACATAATTTGAATATATCAACGAAGTTGAAATGGTAAATTGGCCATCGTTACGATTATAAAAGCTGACGTTACGAGCGTTAGCCCTTCGTCGGAGCAAATAGGGGAATTGTGGGTTGTGTGTGCTTTTAAAGGCAGAAAAAGGAGCTTGTAATCGTAACGGTGGCC